CTACTACTGCTACTACTACCTCTACTACTAGTACTAGTACGACGAAGGCGGCTGTGACGACGACGATTACTGCCATGACGATTGCTACCGTGATATTTATCGTTTCTTTGATACCGTGTTGTTTTTGATCCGAAATCCGGCAATCTTAATTATCCACTATACACCCGCGGGCCGAAAGTTTTGAGCTACCGAGCCTTTTATGACGTTACAGACTCTTGCGGAGTAGCGGTGCCAGAAAGTGATGAATGAATTACCCACTCCTGCTAGCGGAGTGAGTACTCCGTTTCACCGTTATAGTACTTATTCCTTGCGGCGGAGACCCCAAGGCTCACTTGTGTCAGGAGTCTGGGGGAAGAGGGTGGGAGCATGGATCGACTTCGTTGTTCAAGCTAGTGGGTCGAACTATCGACCCGGTGCAGTACCCTTCAGGAAATAGTGTATCTTGTTTTTTTGCTGACCCCTGTTTCGTTTTTGTGTTGATCCAGGATTTCTGGTCTGTTAGATCTCTGTTTGATTGTTTGATCCCTCAGCCGAGCATCACTGGTGCGTGGTTATGGCTGCATTGTAATTGTAAACTGTGACCTTCTTATCTTTACTTGCGTCATCGGGGGGTAACGGCCCTACACCCGGAAGAGCGTGGCTGCAGAGGTGTTCGACAGCACGGCGAAGGACTCTTTGCGGACCGAACGCCTAGCTGTGCGGCGCCCAGGCGTAAGGAAGTGGCTGGGTATTTCCGCGGAGTGCAGTTGCCCGAACAAGAGAGCCGGCATGCGAGTCGGCTGGTTTCGCGCGTTGTCTTGATTGCTGGAAGTACCAACTGAAGATCCGAAAGCCCGAAACCACGATGCAAAGTTCCGCACAACTGCCAGTTTCAGATCAGCAGAGTCTGGTTATATCCGGTTACCAGGAAGCCTGCCGAAGCTCTGAGGAACTCACACCGCGCGATGTCGCAGCGATCTCCAAAGCTTTTGCCAAGGCGCAGCTGGTCCAGGATCACATCTCATACTCATATATGTATATATATGTATATATATATATATATATGGCTTTTGTTTCTCTAAAGAGGCTTCACTGACATCACTGACTGGTGCTTGCGATGTAGTCGTCAGGTTTCGCAGTTCATTGCTCAGCGCCACGGCACACGAGATTCGAAAACACGTTGCCGGGTTTTTGAGGTTTCGAGCTCAGCATGTGCTTGCAGGCAGGAGTGCGCAACGTCGAGCTCATGCAAGCCCTGTGCGATCACAGCCCGGGGCCGAATCATGCCAATTTTAGCCATCAGCATACTGCATGTGCTTCTTCGACGACTTTCCTACATGTTCTGGCCGTGTGGCTTATGATCATGCATCATTACTGTTACCGTTCCTAGACCCTCCATCTTCCCTCTAGTGGACCCTAAATACCCTTAATTTGGGACCATATACCCCTATTTGAGGGTACTTGGAGGGTCCTGGTTCAGACCCTCCAGAGCATGCTTTGAGCTTCTGGGCTGCAGGTTCCTTAGGCTTTGGCACCCTGGAAAGCTGATTCTTGAGCCTGCCAAGTAGAGAAGCCCTTGCGGGTCTTGGTCCCCAGAGACTCCAATACCCCTTAATTAAGGAATATACCTTAAAGGGTTTAGGGTTTAGGGTTTAGGGTTTAGGTTAATCTCATTAGGGATCCTACTATAATTTAAGGTATATTCCTTAATTAAGGGGATATTGGAGTCTCTGGGTCTTTGATGGCGAGAGCCCCACCGAGGCTGCGGCCTGCTCAGGCATCGAGCTGCCCTGCCATTACGGGATGTGACCTAACAAAATCGTTATTCTTACTACTTATTATTACTTGTTGTTACTATTATTATATGTTATTCTTCTTATTATTACTTGTTGTTACTATCATTATTATATATTACTATCACTAGAATTCTGTAGGGCTGTGGAGAAGCAATTCTGAGTGGTCGCACTCGGAGGTTCTAGCCCGTGCTACCCTCGCAATCCGCCAGGGATGGCATTGACCAGAAATGCTACAAGCGACCCATGAAGTCCCTTGCCAGAGATATCTACGTCTGCCTGACACGCTTCATTGCGAGTGCCTGGCCATGCACGACGGGATATTCTTGCTTCTGTCCTGGACCAATCCATTGAATTGGTCGACCTGCTTGCCACATCACCTCTGGCATCGCACCTGCTCCCCAAACCCTCAATGCTTTACTTGAAAGGAAGAGGACTTCAGTGCTGTGGATGGAAAAGTCGATGCCTTCGACATGGCAGCTCGGAGATGTTACGGAAAACCGGCTTTAGCGCAAGCCTTTGATGATCGGAGATCAGTACCTTAGAGTTCAGTGGTTCTCGAAACCTAAAGCCCCAAAGCCCTGAACCCTGGGGCTCCATGCCAGCGCGTCCTGCAATCTGAGCTTCAATGAACTTGAAGAGACCTAGCCCTGAACTTTCATGGAACACTTCCGAGAACTAGAGGGGCCTAAATAATTACCGATGCTATTTTTGGGTTGCTTACAACATTTATTAGAATTTATAGTAGAATAGACCCCAAAGACCCCTATGGTGAGACTTCTTCGTGTAGTTTGCGGTTATTTACCCATTGGTCTCGAACTCTCTGATGGCTCCTCGGAAATCTCCATCTCGTCCTGTTGGGCACAGCTTTCTGGGGGCTTTGGGGCAGCTCAAAGGTCCCCGATTGTTAACTAGGGTTTAGGGCTTTAGGGGTTTAGGGTTTTAGGGTTTAGGGTTTAGGGTTTTAGGGTTTAGGGGTTTAGGGTTTTAGGGTTTAGTAGGGGTTTAGGGTTTAGACCGTGAGCCCCGGGTGGCCAAGGTGACTTTGTCAGATATGCGCACTCCTCAGACATCCAGCATCACGGAGATGTCCCTGACATAAGATTCCTCTCTGCTGCTCAGATTTCAGACCCGAAAGCCTGATTCTATATTGATTCGATAATCACAATATATAATCGTTATTACTACGTATTATTGATTATTGTTACTATCATCATTACTATTACTGTCATTATTATCATTATTATTCTTATCATTGAGTTGCTACTTCTCCCTAAACCCTAAACCCTAAACCCTAAACAAGAGCAGTGAGACCAAGGCTGAGCTCCCTTGCAGACCAGCAGTTTGTGCATCCGCAGTTTCTGGAGTTGGCCGACGAGTACATGCAGAAGGCTTGCGGTTTAGGGTTTAGGGTTTAGGGTTTAGGGTAGTTCTCTAAATGAGAGTCCCTTTTAGGGTACTATTTTATAAGGGTGCCGTAGTATATAAAGGGCCCTATAGAAGGGACCCTGATTTCGAGAGTTCCCCATTTTTCGGGTGCAGCAACCGAAGGTAGAGACGACCTGGACTGAAGAGTCGAGCCAAAGCTTTGTCATACTTGGGTAGCACTTCACATGTCTATGGGTCTATGGGTACTTAAACTCAATAAGGAATAGAATCGTAAATGTTTAATGCGATCCCAACCATGAACTAGTGAATAGGTCACGAAATGTTGTAAGTTGTGACCGTGCCTGAGATGCCAGGGCCTACAGCAGCCGGCGCATGAGGTGACAAAGTTCCTGCGCTTCCCGCAGGCTGGATTCCGCCAGTGTCGGACATTCAGAACCAGTTCATGTCACAATATCATAGAAGAGGAGCCTCTTAAAAATCTGAACTACGTATAAAAGAGCTATAGAAGGTATAGTTTCACGCGCTCAAACTCAAATCTATGTGCATATCTTCCTGCGAGGATAGTGCCAGTGGACTTCAAGGAGTACCTTTTGCGGGAATCCCCTCTCAACAAAGATGGTACTAGTCACAACAAAACGAGCAAAATAGACATTAGCTAGTCATGAAGTAGAATAATAATCCCCCTCCTAGTAAGACTAGTATCACAGCCTTAACTAGAACCCATAGCCAGGTCTTCGCCCGAGCGCTGGTTGCCCGAGCTCGTGCTTACATTGATCCTGCAGGCAAGGAGCGTTTTAGGGTTAAGTGGGTTTAGGGTTTGACTTACTTAAGGGTCTTCGGAGTTTTTAGGGTGTCGGGTTTGGGGTGTCAGGTGAAGCAATGAATCTCGGTCCTTTGGTTAGGATCGTAGAGGGTATATGATAGCTGAGTGATGCTTCGCGGCAAACCTCGAAATGAAACAGCGGCCGGACTGCACGTCCACTGCTGTTTTCTACCTGGAGTCTACCTCCGAGTTTGCAACGTGTTTCAGGAACAGGGGTTTGTCCGAGACGAAAGGCTCAGGCTCAGTCCTTTTGATAAGAGGCTATGAATAGAGTTGAACCACTCTCGCAACGTGGCAAGGGCGGCAAGTTTTCAGAAGTGCGATGCCGCACGTCGTGCCGGGAGCTCGGGATGTTCTTCCAAAGTATGCGCTGAGGAGCTTTTCACATTTTATACTACGGGACGACAGGCCGATAGTCGTAAGCGTGTTGCTATGCTGGGTTTCGGAGCGCGAGTTTGATGAAGACGCTGTACTCCCCTGAAGGGCCAATGGGCGGTTGTGATGGGATTTTGAGGTTCCAGATCGCCACTTGTCCGTTTCCTACGGTGTGTGTGTGTGTGATAAGGGTCCTGAACACGACAGTTCGATGTGCTTTTGCATCTCCTTGTTCTCGTCTAGGTAATTAGCCGTGAGACGAGAGGAAGGAGTTCTGAAGTTGGAGGGTTTGGGTTGCTTAACGAGGCAGAAAAAAGATGACGGCACTCATCGAAACAGGAAAACAAGCTCTTGAAAAATCTCCAAGCCGTTGGTCTTCGTGCAGCATTACCTCCAAAAACAGTTCCAGGACTTTGGGCCGGGAGCTTCAAATTGGGATCTCCCGGAGACCTGAGCTCCCTTTCTAGGCCCAAGGGCAAGGACGCGCATGCATTCCGGAGTGGATCACGGGACTTAGTGACGAGTCTTGTTATATAACTATGGCTATGGTTGCTCATAACAGGGCAGATTTTACCCTATACTAGCTAAATGCCTTGATCCTCCAAGTACCCCTAAACTCCAAAGCCCCAAAACGGTGGACCTTCTGTCGTTTGCGTGTTGCAGGGAGACGCTGCCCGTCCTGGGGGCCCGATGCCCAGCTGGGCATCAGATTCGGGGATTTGAGCCCGGCTGGCTTGATATGATAAAGTGGAACATGGGGTTTAGGGTTTAGGGATGATATAACATAATACAATATAATATGAAATGTATATAGTATAATTTGTTAAAATACAATATGATAGAGATGTAGGCTAGAGCCAGAGCGCCCAACCCCATCTCACAGAATTTCAACCCTCTCTACGTCGTAAGATAAGTGCACAAGAACCCGTATGCGTACGCACAAGGCCTCAGCCTTTGCTCAGAAACACATGGGAGTTTCCGAAAATTAGGGGGGTACCTTATTTTGGGGTCCTTACAATAAGGATCCTACTATATTAGGCATATTTTGGGGTCCTTATAATAAGGATCCTACTATTTAGGGTACTATAGTAGGGTCCTCTGTTTTCGGAAACCCCCACATCTGAGCTTTCCGAGCTCCCGCTAACCCTGAGAGCCTGTCTCAGGCAAGAGACGTTGTTAGGCTGGTTGCGGTCCACGCCTCAGTTGAAGCTTCGTCGCTTGGGAGTTTGGGGAGAAGTTGATTTCGGGTATGCTTCGAAGATGACGGCTGTCACTGCCGCAGACGACAAAGTCCACAATCGTAGTAGATAGAAGCCTGGATGAATTTGCCTTGGACCTAAACCCTAGAACCCCAAACCTACAACCTGAAACCCCCAGCCCTGCCCCGAACCCTAAACCCTGAAAGCCCCAAAACAGCTAAAGTCCCGAAACCCACGAGGCCTGGGCCATGCTAGGGCCAAAGGACGAGTATGCCCTCGCAAAGTTCGAGAACAGGCCCGTGAGCACCTCCCGCAGCTGCCGATCCAAGCAATCTGCGAACTCTGCCACAAGGGGATCTTTGTTGTTGTTATAAACAATGGTTGTTACTGAAATGGCCGCTACTCAGCATCGTTGTTGCTATTATTCATCGGTAGTGTTATTACTACTACTAGTTCTTTTCCTACTGCCACATTTTTTAAAATCATTGTTGTCCGTGTTATCATTCTATGATGCTGGACGGGGAGGATTGCAATGTCATCTCACCTCTGGTGTGTCTTGGACCGATGTTCACGCAGACCCAGTTTCGCTTTGTGAGGCTGTGCTATCATGGTCTTTCATGGGCTCAAGTCTGTCCCGCCTTGGGCGCGAGCAGACTGTTTAAAGGCTGGAAAGGAAAGGCCTTCCCTTCCATCCGGCCCGCCCCAGATTTTCCCGGCCTGGCTGATGGTAACATGCGAGTGGCAAGATGCAGTGTCGCATCTTGGCGGGCTTCTTTGTGAGGTTGAACAAAAACGTGCCCGGTAGTGCCTGCTCCGAGCATGATGTGCTTTTTCTTACTGCAAGCTCCTCGTGCCCGGCTTCGGCAGGCGGTGAATTCAATCTCCCATTCCTCGCTTGCACCGTGACCTGCGCCACCTGTAAAACACCTCTGACCATATAAAAGGACATGAACCGCACAGATAGGAAGCACGTCTCGTGCAAAGCTTACGAGGAAGAAGCACGCTGAGCTTCTCGAAGTGGTGGATGTGCACCATGAGCTTCTAGTTGTTCTGTGACGTATGCTTTTGTTCTTTTGTTTCTGGGTTTTTGTTATAATGCAAACGAATCCAAAAAAGTATGTGCTTTCAGCGATATGCTGAACAGCCGAGGCTTGTCAAGAACGCCATGTTGTCGACAGCTGCTGAGATCGAGGCCTTAAGTTCATAAAGGATTTGCAGACCTCCACCCTTCTATAGTGAGAATATATATATATATATAACATAATATTTTATATATTATATTATATTATATTCTATTCTATTCTATTCTATTCTATTCTATTCTATTCTATTCTATTATATTATATCATGTTATATCATATTATATTATATTATATTCTATTCTATTCTATTATATTATATTATATCATGTTATATCATATTATATTATATTATATTCTATTCTATTCTATTATATTATATTATATTCTATTCTATTATACTATATTATATTATATCATGTTATATCATGTTATATCATATTATATTATATTATATTATATTATATTATATTATATTATATATTATGTTGTATATATGTCACAGAGTCGAATTCAGCTGCTTAGCGCAGACCTTCCGCTCTGCGGGATGTAGTATAGAGGCCAGTGTTGATGCGCGCAAGACATGGCACCACGCCACAAACCCAAGCATCATTGGTTCACAAACGTACAGTTGCCTTCGCACTCGGAGGCTCTCGCACAGGAGGCGCTGTCGCACCGAAGCCCTTTCCAGTTGAAGATGGAGCAGAGGACCTTGATGTGCTATAATATAATATAATATAATATACTATAATATAATATACTATAATATAATATAATATTATATAATATAATATAATAAAATATAATATAATATAATGTGCTGGCAGCCTAGGCCCCCTCCCATGCACCAACGGAACAATTACCAAGCATCTAGAGGCGACTAGCCCCGTCGCGCCCATCCCTACCTATCTCGCCTCTTGAGGGAGCTTGCAGCCAGGCAGCAGAAGCTAATTTCACTTCGTTGCTACATGCCTTTTGTTCTGGAGTTGGACCTGAATGTGACTAGAACTGTCCATTTATCTACCGTCTCAATGCGCTGCAAGACGAAGATGGTGTTGAGGACGTGTTGAACATCGGTCTTGAAGAATTGTGAACACCAAATCCAAAAGGTCCTCCAGCGAACACGTTTTACATGTGCAGAGGCAGATGCGTTGCTCATTACATTTCTAGATAGAGCATGTGGCTGCAGTATTTCGGAAAGCTTCATTTCGATTCAGAATACACAGGCACACGACTTCAGTTACAAGCCATGATGTGCAAGGGTGAAGAGGGTTCACCGAACTTGGTTTTGCTTTTGGATCAAGGCTGGAAAGAGTTGCTTCAGGAAAGGCTTTGGAGAGTCGCTCGAGAAACGGCGAGCGTCCAGAATCTGAGTTGAAGCATGCTGCAGCAGGGTGAGCATGAACGATGTCGTTTTAAGGCTGCCGCTGTTTAGGGTCTAAGGTTCGTTTACGGTCTGAGCATTAAGGTTTCCTTTCGTAGCATGTCAACAGAGCGTGGCAGATCCTGGGAGGACGGCGCAGCCATATGTCAGCGAGCCCTCTCTCAGTGAGGAGGACAACTTCGAGCAGAAGTTCGCTCCGAAGGACAAACTTCTTTAGGCACCGAGATGTGTGGAAGAGGCCAAATTGAGCAAGCGGCGTTCGGTTCCGAAACAAGATCACGTATGGCTTGCATAGATTCACGTTCGAGCAGCTGAGTCTTGTTGCCAGCCGGCGGAGGTCATCTTACCACAGTGTTGCTGATGATGTTGTAGCAGGATGTAGTACGAGGAGCAGCGGCGGTGCTACTAGCAGAATCACTGCCAGGCAAAAAAACATCATCATCATCATCATCATCATCATCAGCTCATCACCACTAAAGCTTGATCACACCGCAACTGGACCGCAACCACCACCGTGACAGAGACGTTCTTCAGCAGCAACAACAACAAAAGCAACAACTTCGAGAGAAGCAACATTGAGAGCAGCTTAGCAATGATAATTTCACTGGAATGGACGACAACACCACATGCTTCCTCAGCATCAGTTGGATCATCATGATCAGCACCATCAACAATAACAACAACACGCCGACTGTGAGAACGATTCTTATTATGATAAGGAGCCCCCCAAAATAGTATAGGTATTTTAAATTACTGTATTTTTAATAAGGAACCCCAAAAGAGAAACCCTAAACCCTAAACCCCTAACCCCCTAAACCCTAAATCCTGAATAGGTAATTATGATTGACCAAGTTGATTGAAGAGCCAGGAGCCGGCCCAGCGGGAGGTCGGCAAGGTGCTCCGCAGTGCAACTAATGCATTCTTAAGGTGCTCCGCCGTACTTGTGATATATATATATATAT